CATGTCATTACTAAGAAATATTTATTTATTTACATGATTACTTCTAAAATAATAATAAAGTAATAAAATTAATACTAATAACTATTTATTTATTTATTTATATAATTACTTTCAGTTGCAATGAATGTCTCAGTCCAGTGGGTAGCTTTACACACAGAGTGTCTGAATATCCGTCTAATAATAGAAAATGAAATTAATAATTAAAACAATAACTTAGTACACATATAAATGTATATGTATGTCAAATGGGCTACATTTAATTTTAGCAACCTGCATATACAACATACATGTACATGTACCTCAATATACAATGTACATGTACAAATGTATAATAATATGTATAATGTCCATGTAAATACCTCAGTATACATGTACTTACTTTGTTATTGCTAGAAACAGCTTGTCCAAAGCAGTCCATTTCATCATGTTTATTGATGATATCACCAGGCTTGTACTCTGTAACAGGAGAATAATAATTATCAGGCTAACACTATTGTGACGGACAATAATGCATTTAATAGTGTTACATGTACATGTACTTTATTCTCTCTCCTTCTCTTTTCTCCCTCTCATTCTCTCATCACTCTTCTTGTATTTCACTCAACATGATAATACTCTTTAAAATGTACATGTATGTACATACATTTACGTACATCTTCCTCTTTCCTCTCCCTCCCTCCCTCACCTTCTCCCTCCCCCTCACCTTCTCCCTTCCTCAACTTCTCCCTCCCTCCCTCACCTTCTCCCTCCCTCACCTTCTCCCTCCCTCACCTTCTCCCTCCCTCACCTTCTCCCTCCCTCACCTTCTCCCTCCCTCCCTCACCTTCTCCCTACCTCACCTTCTCCCTCCCTCCCTCACCTTCTCCCTCCCTCCCTCACCTTCTCCGGGCCTCCCTCACCTTCTCCCTCCCTCCCTCACCTTCTCCAGGGTTAATGACAGCATTAATGTGTTCAATGACTCCGTCAGAATTAATGTCCCCATGGGCAGCATGAGTGGAGGAGAGGGGCAGTGAGAACAATGGACGCCCTGATGATAAATGAAGGACCTCAATACCCTATGAAAGAGGAATGGGAATGGATAGTAGAAATTGTACATGTATGTGTACATGTACATGCATACATGTGTATGTTTTTTATACATGTACATGTTACATGTAGTTTAGTAATTTGTGATGAGAATGTGCTTAAACTTTCTATTTGTGGTGTAAAAAGTGGAAGAATTTGGAATGATTTCATATTCTACTTTTGAAAAAGCTAACTATTAATGAGGGGCTTAAATTGAGTACATGTACATGTAGTAAGTGATTCTTAAATTAAAATAGTCTACAATAATGTCAGTATAACTCAGGATACTACCTAAAACTAAACCTTAGTATTACACTGTACCTTCATAGTGTGTATGACCAGTACATTAGGATTGAGTACGTGTTCATTTGGTGAGTGAGGCCTCAGTCCTCCAAAAGCATATCCAGCAATATGATCCATTGCCAATCCACTGACTAATGGAAAGAATGTACAATGTATGTGTGTGTGTGTGTGTGAGAAATATATTAATAAATACTATGTACAATAGAATAGAAATTTGGGTTATGGCTGTTTCTTAAAAAATGGCCGATTTCTAAAAAGTACCCAAGGCTATAGCCCATGGTTTTTTCCGAAAAATGGCTCCAAAATCACCCCAAATTTTTATTACATTTTCTGATACATATTGATGTCCTTATGCTGTATAGAAAGTTTGAGCTGATTCCGACTTCAATTTTTCAAGTTACAGCCAT